TACTTCGTCCTCTCGTATTTCCAATCTGCTTGTTACTCCGTTCCAACGAGACCCACCCGTAGTACTCTATATTTTACTGCAAAATATCATCATCTTCCACTACACAATCGAACCAGCACATCTGTGAAACTCAAGTACAGCAGATCAATTTTTTTGTAGTAATTTAGTTACAAGAAGGACTGTCACAACTCATCGCAAATCCTTCTGTTTTGCGATTGTTATTATTAACTTATTTTATTGTCCTGTCTGAGTCTATGACTATGTAGGACATGCAGGTCCTCTCTGCCTACCGGCTAAGGATACCTATACCAGTACTATATCCCCTCCTGTGCCTCCCATACAGCTCCCCTCAAACAGTATCATCCCTCACAAGTACTCATTCATTCATACAGTTAGAGGAGCCCTTTGCCCTTCATTATCTCCCCTCTCCAGCCAACGACACGATGGCCATTTGCGGGTGTATGGCGGCCGGGAAAAATCGCAAAAACCACTGGGTGCGTAGCTCTCCTATTACCGAAATTAGGACTAAATCCGAATACATAGTGATCCTTCTGATGCGTTCGAAGAGGCCGGCCAGCTAGACGCTGCAGACTTGTGGGTACCTCGAGAAATTCACACTCTGCCTTTCTAGCCTCCTTCCCATTCCTTCCTGAAGGTCGTGCTGAAATGTCAGAAAAGTCTTGACAGAGCGTGATCGCTGTATAGTAGCTTAGCCCAACTTCTTTTGTGCCGTCCAGAGCGCTGGGGAGTGCTGTTGATCCATCGACAGAAGAAGCCCTCCTGGCCAATTAGCCGAAATCTCAGTCTTGACGCCCACAAAAGATCCATAGTTGAAAGCCCTTCGAAAATATCGGTCTCAGCATGCTCTTCAGAGACCTATTCCCCCTCTCGCTCCACATCTCAGCCGCCTGTCCTTCCTCAAGATGTATAACCTCATTAGAGCATCAGTCCCCCATAAACCAAGACCCCAACTTTGTATATTATGACTTAATTTCCTCCTTGCGGGTATACGTAGCGTCGTAAATTTGTAGTGAGTGATGGCCGGCGATGAATGAGGCAAGCTCCTGTTTGCAATTGGGGTGACGCCTTTATCGGTCGGCGAGGCGAGATGATATGTGGTTAGATCGGAGTTGAGGACTCAGAAGATAATGGTGAGTGCTGCGTGATTGAGAAGTCTTCAAATAGAAATATGCTTGAGATTGCTTTTGACTTCGATTCGGGTGCGATTCTTCTTGGCTATCCCAGATGTGCAGGGCATACTGAGCGATTACACCGTCACCACTGGAAGGTGAAGAATTCGTCTTTGCCGGCTTTGAGGGCAAGCTCGCCTAGTATACTAATCTCTACGTTCATGTGATGCTTACGTGTTGAGATAGTACCAGCAAATAACGGTCACGATACCGAAGGTGCGAACCCACGCCCTACGCTGCAACACGCACATCTACTGCTCACCACCCAACTCAATCGATGTTCCCAAGAATGAATCATGGTCTTCCAAGAAAATTACTTAGACCCTCCTTTTGATCTCGACGTCCCCCAAAGCTCCTTTTCAAATCAAAATCTCTTTTATGATGATGTTTCTGAAATCAAACCCCCGGCCCCATTCAACGGTCTTGTTATAATTACGAGGTTAGATGGATAAGTATTGTGGGAGGATAGTATATATATATAAAGAAGAATGTGGAATGAATATTCTGGTGGTGGGCGAATGTATTTAGACTATCTGAGGATAATATGGATATCTAAAGATGAACGCATTATCTACCTAAGAAGTAAATGGACCTGATAATATACATGTACGATCTAGCCTACAGCCGTGTCCATTGATTGTCTGATGTACTCATGTAACGCGTATCGACATTGTTTGATCCTTAAGCTCCTGATAATGAGCACTACTCACATTTGAGTCATGCATTAATATGAGCTTGTATAACTAAAGTCACGTTGTTTCATCACTGAGTCTTGTCTATGAAGCCCTTGCTTCCTTGCGCAGACTAGCATCACAACAGGTCCCTCCTCGAAGCCGCTCAATTAGCAGCCTCGAGAGCTCGTGAAACAGAAACTTTGTTTGGCTCATCAGCCCGACTTCTCGACGAACATTGTTCTTCTCACGCCCGCGCTATTTTACCAGAGCCTCAAGCTCAAGCCCTCCGCAGCTGCACCTCAGAACCAGCGACTATTGCTGCTAAGCACTTCAACGCATATATGCATGGTACCTCAACTATCGAGATATCTAGCCCTATGAAGACAGCGAAAGTAAACGTCTCCCAAAGCTACGCGGGTGCCGCCAAACGAGGCGCACAGAAGACCCCTCCCCTACAAAGAAGCTAAATGCTCACGTACGAACTGAAAACGCTAAACCAGACCACAGATTGTTCGTTCGCCTCCCATCCAACAGTTCTCTGCGCAACGCATCGGGCTATGCAATACAGACGCACTTAAAGTCTAAGCTTGGCAGCCAAAGTAAACTTCTATCAAATGTTGTGTTAACAAAGACAGGATTTGCTCTCCGCTCGAGCGCTGGTAATGCCGATGCCTTAAACGAAACACTGGAAACAGTTGATCTGTTTGAGACTGCTCCCATTGAGAAAGCCTCGCCCTGGACGTCCTACAGGATTAAGAATGTCCCTCGATTCTACGGGACAATAAACCAAAATTTGCAATACTGCCTCGAAACAGTCACGACCGAAGCCGTAACAGCTGCTGTAGCAACAGCAGCTAGTGCTACCCCCATCTCCGTACTCCCGTCCCAGGATAATGAGACAAGCCCAGACACAACCTGGATTGGTCGCTTTCCTCAAGAGCACAGCCGTCTTCCGCGTATTCTTTATCTCTTTGGGTGCCGCGCCGTCACCCGAATCCTTCCTAAACGCTCGTCGGCAGTACAGTGCAGGACGTGCTGGCTTTGGCACAACAGTCGCGCTTGTTCCTCTGCCCCAAGATGCCGCCTTTGTGGGTCCATCCAACACACAGAGAAGGACCACAATAACCTCTGCGCCGCACCGGCTGGACATACCTGCCATCCGCAATGTGTGCACTATAACGGCCCTTATCCAGCAGACGATCCAACTTGTGAGCTACGAACACAATCCTCTAATCCTCCAAAGACAAAATCACAGGTTGCCGCCATCCGGAATATCTTCTCTGAGGCGCGCATCCACCGCCAAGCAGAAGCTGGATGCGTTAAGCATTCTGCCGCCCCGCAGAGCTCCAGCACCTCTCACACAGCACAGCGCACTAGCTATCCTGAAGTTTCCCAAGTACCAGGACCATCAACACGATCTGCAACCGCATCCAAGCGGACTATTTTCTTAAACCCTTTTGAGATCTTGAAGATATCAGCCAGGGCGTCAGATGAGCAGATGGAACTTTGATAAGATAGAAGTCAACCTGGCAACCTTTCAACTTGCATTGTACTAACTCATTACGTACTAACTTTCCCTCATATCCGTGGGTATTGCAGTTACACCAAAGACGTTTATTTTTGATTTTTAATTTTTTTCCCTTATATATCATTTACCATAATTGTATTTTAGTCATCAGATACTCTCTAATTTTGTAGATCAGGTCTCATGTACCTAGGTTAGGGAGTCGTGGGCCTCCGACAACTGGGGCAGTAAGCTTTGGCGTCCTTTTTCCATTTGGATTTTAGATAAGACAGGCCTAGGCCTGATTTTATATAGACGTTAAATAGAAAACAAACAAACAAACAGCTCGCCACCAAGCTTCGGGCGCGGGAGCGCCCAGGTAAAAACTATTCATGGAAGCGATCGGGGTGGCGACACCATAAGCTCCTGGAATATAAGCGCTAGCCGCAAGGGGTCGGGTACCACTCAGCGTATATGCAACAGCATCGAGTGTACAGGTGTATCTCGAGTGTCCCTAAAGGAAACCAGTACGGTCGCCCCTGGATCAGCTATTCAGCGGCGCTCAACTACGGTACTGAGCTGCGATTATAGGGGCAATGATGTGACTGGCAGGCAGAGGATATACGTGAGCCGCAGGAACAGCGATGACCGCTCATGAACTGTGGATTCATAAGCGTTGGATTGGTGGTGTGATTACTATGGATAGTCAATCACGAGATGGAACTAAGACTATGACATGGGTCATATAGATGTATATAAGATAGCATATGTTCATGCTTCTGACAGTATCGAAATCTGTCGAACACACCCTCTACATACTCCAATCAGATATAACAAGTGACATGTAACTATGTTCCCATATGACTCATAACCTTTTTTTTTGCATCAGATTTGATTTGCGTATGCAGCTATCTAGCTATGACACAATATCAAAGAAAAGTACAGAATAGATGATTCAACGTAAAGGAAGAGCACTCATGCCTCGGATTTCATTTGCGAGTACCACTGCGAAGTTTTGGTAGCTTTTTCTTCACCCCAAGTCAACCCTCATCCGTGAATACCCACCCAGGGGAACGTCTCAAAAACCCTGGGTTATCCAGACATGCCTCTATCATCTTTCAACTTTTCTCCGCGCGAAATATGTTCTGAGGCGTCTCCTTCCCAAGTGGAGAAGGTGCTCAGGCTACTCAGACTATACTGGATAGCACCATCGGAAGGCGGACCACAACACCTTCCATCGTTGGCTTGTGTTTATAGTGTCAGCTGCACTCTTGCAAGCAAAGTATTGGTGCGCACAAAGCCTAGTTCGTAAAACTCTTGCCAAAATTCGGAATTTCACGCCCTTCGAGGTAATCTCCTTCCTTTGCATCATCTTGTAAACTTGTCCTGAACCCTCTCACGTCCATCCCAAAGATTCATAACCTTAACATTACGACTTGGCCTGAAACTCACTATTTCAACGATATCTAATTTTAAAACTCTTAGTTCAGTGCTTTTGTACGTTATCCAAATCATAAACCAGCCAAAATACGTGGATAGTTTTGACAATCAAATAGCATCAATTCAACAAGTCGTTGGGATTTTACCATTATCACATATTGAATTTGAGTTTCAGCCTCAATTTTAATCACAATGTACATCAAGTTTACTTCATTCGTTGCTTTTCTACATGCAACTTCAAATATGGCGGATGATTCTAAAAATTCTAGTATTATTCAATCAGATCCATTCAACCTCTTCGTGTCATCTGTGAAAGAAAAAATAGGTAACTCACTCTTGACTTCATGTCATGAGGGTGCTGCCACAGACGCGCTTTGCAACTCCTTGACTCCTTTGTCAAATATTTCGAGATCTTTGTATCGTTTAAACAACACCATGGCTAAAAATCTCGACGAAAAATTCCGTGACCTTGGTATTCTGACGGAAGTTCTACACGGAGTTAATTTCAAATTAACAATACCTATGAATCTTGTCTTTACAGAAAATTCTAGTGATGCTATACCACTATTTATGCCTTTAGACACTGGAACCCTCATAGGCTTTGATGCTAACGACAACATGTTTGTTCCGAGGAAATCTGGCGACGAAGAGACTCCACCGACACACAAATTCATTCCTGAATACCGATGGAATATGTGTGACACGAACATAGGTTATCACTATCGAACACTTGTATGGATTGCCGACACGAATTTATCTGTATCAAGTAACACTATTAATTGTGAGAAGATATGCGTGACTCGAAAGTTTATCACTCCCTAAGTGTTAATAAATAATATAAATTATGAAGCAGATGTACTCTGCTTTAGTGAAATTTCCTAGGTGGAAAGTTGAATAAAGAGTATTTTTTATCTATTTGATTTGATGATTTTGAATTGTTTGTTTGTATTATTTTACGTCTAATTAGAGTGAGCCTTAGCCCTTCGCTCTATACACCCAACCGGGTAAAGGATGCAATGATTTTGAATTGATTGAATTTAACACCGTGCCTGTCCACAGCTCGTGACTACTGTCACGTGCTGGACGGCCCTGAGGGTACTGGTAAGTATTGAATTGAATTGAATACATTACGTATCAGGCTTACGCCCTACACCCAATAGGCGTGATACGGGTCTGTGCTCCCTGGGGCCACACTACAACCTAGGTACATAGTTTGCTTCTCAGAAACTTTTTGTAGAAAACATAGATAATTAATTAAATTTCGAAAAAAAAAACGCCCTGCGCCTTTTCTCCTTCCTCGTGGCCCTTAGTCCTGTGAAAAATTTCCTCCGGCAGGACTTAATTCTTCCGGTTTGCGCTCTGCATCTCGTAACACTTAGTTACTGTTAAGAACTGGAGAAATTTAACCCCCTCCCTTTTCTGCCAGCATCTCCCGTCCACTCGGTGGTGGTTCATGCTTCTCTTCTCTCCAGTGCCGTAGAGCAATCCGACATTCGGCAAAATGTCAGGGACGTTTCTCTCTTCCGCAAACGCATTTGCAGTCTTCCCATTCGTGGCCAAACCTTTCATGGTAGTTCCTAAAATCACCATGTCCCGTCCTCGCTGCGACCAAGTGGTGATGCGCCCACCTCGGAAGTGCTAGCTCTGGTGGACGTTTTCGTTTCATTCGGAGGTCCAACTCCTCATAGCGGCTAGGTCTATGTTTTAGCCACCAGGATTCCACCGCTTCTTCACACCTTTGCCTGACAAACCGGTTGAGGGCTGCGAAGGTGTATTTAAGTCCATCCTTAATTGTTGAGGGAGCTGTAGTCGTTTCAGCCGGGAGTTTCCTGAGGGCTTCCTTCGCCAGTCTGTCTGCCTCCTCGTTCCCAGTGATCTCTGAGTGGGCTGGTATCCACCTGATTTCAACTGATCTGGCTCGTCGTACCAGTCTTGTGAGTGTGTCTACCAGCGCCTGAGAAGATTTCGTTCGACCGGTTTGAAGAGCTCTTGCGGCTATGGAGTTATCGAGGAGCACTTTTATCGGAGAGCTGCCCGCTTTTCCTATCGCTCCTTCGAGGGCTTTTTGGGCGCCAAAGATTTCGGCATCGTACACCTCCGCCCCTGGCAGAGGACCGGCATCACTCCTAATCATCTGGCCTCCTTTGTATAAGATGTATCCCCACGCCGATCTAGCTGGTCCATATGATGAGCCGTCTGAGTAAGCGCAAACTGTCTCATCCGACAGGCTTGCTATCCATTGCTTAGCGTGAGCTGCTTCTTGCTGCTTGTCACCGCCAGTGAGCTGTCTGATGGGCTCAGCTTTTGGGAAATACAGTTTGCCGGGGCCCTCGGCCATCGGCATATTTTTGGCGCTGATCTGAAGTCGCGTGAGGTACCTTTCTGAGCACTTGAATAGCCGGTTCCTCTGACCTATGCGGAGACCTAGGCGGCTTACCGTATCTTTTGGCTCCTCTGTAGACCTGAATGCTAAAGGATGCCACGCGTCCAGCCTTTGAATCCGTGCGGCAGCTAGAATGTTTCTCTGCTGTAAGATAATAGCAGACGGGGGAATACCCGACTCTCTGTGTAGCGCCGTTTTTGGTGTAGTTCGCCACACCGGTAGCGCAGCTCGAACTGCCTTCAAGATAGTGCTGTCGAGGAGATCAGTGTGCCAGCCTACTCCTGTGCCAACCATTTTGTCCCGCTGGGTTGTGATTCGGGTGAGACCTGGCCACCACGCTTCGGCTCCATATAGTGCCATACTTAGGACACAGGACTGCACTGCTTTAATCATCGGTCCCGGAGCTGCGCCATGCTGGACCGAATTTATCCGTAGTATAGACTGTGTTAAACGTTGCGCCTTCCCGCACCATTCCTGAACGTGTTGCTTGAAGTTGAGTTGAGAATCTAGCCATACTCCCAGCCATCTCACGTACGGGGACGGGGATATGCAGTGGCCTTGGATCTGGACAGCTAGACCTGTGGTGTTCAGCTTTTTCCTTGGCCCACCTCCAATTAACAGTAGTTCAGACTTTGCCGGGTCAAAGTCTATCTGGTTTTCGCTCGCTAATTGGACGAGTTTGTCGACTTCTTTCTGGGCTTCGGCCACTGCTTCAGACGCGGTGCTCCCTATGCTGAGTATAGCGATGTCGTCAGCGTACCCGAATTTTGTGCTCTTGTTTCCGTCTCGCATCAAGATTTCGATGTAGAATAAAAACAGAAGGGGTGATAGCGGCGACCCTTGTGGGACTCCGCACTCTGCAACTTTGTCCCGCGTGGTTCCATCACGGTGTCGCACCCTTATCCTTCGTTGGGTTAGAAATGATTCTATCCACAGGCAAAGTATCCTTGGCCATCCCTGATTCCGCAATCGATGGATCAGCCGTTTGTGCAGGACCGCGTCGAACGCTCCTTGTACGTCCAGAGTAACCATGGCCGTAACCTTTTTGTATCGCATTGCCGCCTCTGCATCGTGTATGACGCAGGAGACCAAGTCAACTGCTGAGCGACCAGGCAGTGCACCAAACAGCTGTTGAGGAACGACTCGGTGCTCGATTGCTAGCCAGGCCATTCTCTTGGCTACAAGTCGTTCCAAACCTTTCCCAAGACAGGATAGAAGAGAGATTGATCGCCAACCTTTAGCTGTTGCGAGGTCCCGTCCTGGCTTAGGGAGGAGGATGACCTCTGCAACTCGAAACATAGTGGGGAAATGTCCAAGCTGTAAACAAGCTTGAAAGAGGTTCTTCATTTGTTCGCCAATTTGCTCCCAGCACGCCTTAAGCAGCCGAACCGTGATTCTGTCCGCTCCTGGAGACTTGTCGCCTGTTCCAATGGTGCTCGATTTTACATCCTCTGTCGACAATATTGGGTTCCACGGAATAGTCTCTGGTTGTCCCGTCTCCCATGTGGAGAAATCGTGGGCTGCGTTGAATCTAGTCATCAAGATGTCCCTCAGGGTTTCTGCCCTCTCGAGTGGGTCTGATAACCATTTGTCCTCCGCGACCTTCAGAGGAGGAGGTTCTCGACATGGCTTGGGTTTAGCCCATTGCATTATCTTGAATACCTGGGTGTCCGTGATGGCATTCTCGATCTGTTTTCTCCAGTGTTCCCTTTTTGCCACTTTGACTGTAGCTCTAAACCTTTTCCGGGCCAGGGCTGCTTTTTCTGAGTCGTCTCTGGATTCAATGAACTCGAGGTGCTTTTTCTTGCACTCCTCATTCCACCATGGCGCTGATTTCCCGGCTATTCTCACTGGTTTCCGTCCCACTGCCTTGCGGGCATCCCCCAGAGCCTTCAGCAGGTTCGCTACTTGGCTTTCAATTTCCAACTCGTTGCGTATGGGGCCAGGCTTGGCCCAGGCTTTGACATACTGGGCGAATTTACCAACGTCTTGGTCACGGACTCGCAGATCCTGTGAGACAGCGTTGAGGTCTGCCATTTTTGTCACCTGAACAGATCCTGCGATAGTCATGTAATCCGATGTACAGTTGTATTTATTTGATACCGACGCCTCAGCGAAGGTGTTACTCCACACTAAGTCTAGCACGTTTCCATCTCGATGCGTGGGTACGCCGGCTGAGGTTATTAACTGCATGTCCCGCGCTAGTGCCCAGTCCATGATCTGGTCGCCGCTGCCATATTGCCTTGGTGCCTGGGGTTGCCAGTGTTTCGAGACCGCATTGAAGTCTCCCCCGACTACCGTGGGGCCTTGGGGCGTCCATTGGAGTAAGGGTTCTAAGGTACCGCTTGGCCCGGGTGCACGGTATACGTTTACAAAAGTCAGGCCAGATACTTGAACGAAGCAGTAGTCCAAAGTTTGTCTTGTGGGAGCCGTATGTATTTGTGAGGCTTCGAGACCTTTCCGGGTAAAGGTGATTGCTCTTGGGCGACCTCCTGTATCTCCGATGGGCTTGTGGCTGTGAAACCCAGGATGATTTTTCGTTTTATACTCCCCATCTTCTTGCAATGTCCATGGTTCTTGTACCATGACAACGTGCGCTCCTGCGTCCCACGCCTGTTGCAGCGTTATGTCCATATTAGGTCCGCCCTTTCCCACGTTCACTTGGTGAAATAGAAGGGTGCTATATTTTCGGTTGTGCTTGTGAGAATTTGGTGTATTACTCATTATCAACCATCGTTTCTTCTGGTATATTAATGACCTCGCGGGCCTTACCTTTTTCTTGAGATCTTAATATTGCGGCCTTAAAATCTCGATGTCCTCGCTCTCGAATAATTTGTTACGGCTTGAGTTTACAGATGATAGGTTTATGGTATCACGTGATGTGGAGTGTGGTTGAGTAAGCGTTGGTCCCGGAAGCGAGCTGGTAGAGTTTTCAGCCCAGCGAGGCTGCGGACCTCTTTCTCTCCTTGTCTTTTCTTTTAGTTATCGTGCGTAGCTTTAGGTCCAAATACAAAGCAATTACTCTTTTATATTTCGAGGGAGTCTTCTAGTGTCAACCTGAGGTCGGTCGTAATAAATTCGTAGCTCTGCCGGTGATCGTGATGTCACTTGGCCATGGTATCGCCTTGGACGGGCCATGAAGTCCAAGTGTGTTGACTCGTGTGGTCCAGCACAGTTTGAACATTTGGGAATGTCGGCTGTGCATTCTGCTGCTTCATGCGTGCCCGAGCATTTCACGCACCGCTGTCCTTTGACGCAGTTCCTTGTCGAGTGATAACCCCAGCAGCGTTGACATTGCTCGATGGGCCGTTTACGAGAGAATGGTATGGCTGGTCCACTCTCGTCGAACAGCCTGAACTTTAGGTTGGCTGGTGCCTGTTTGAAGTGTACAATCCAACTGGTGGAGTACTGAACCAGCTTTATGTCATTTGGGCGCGCCTGTATTGGCGCGACACCACACACTGACTGGCATTCGGTCTTCACAATTTCGCTGGTGACTCCTATTCTTCCGTCCAATGTCCGGATGTTGACCGGTACATGAGGGACCATGACAGAGGTCCAGTCTGAGGCAGGCTCAATTGTTATGTCCTCCTTTTGGAGAGAAGCGCCAACACTCAGGATTGTTTCTCTGAGTGCGTCTGATGCACACTCAATTGCTAGGCCAGACCTAACTTGTGTCATTGCTATGATGGCTGAGGGTGTGACCCCAGCTTTTTCAGTTACAATCTTCTTTATTGTGACAGGTGACAACTTCCGCCACTGGTGTCCTTGACCTAATCGGAGGAACAGTCTTTAGTCTTCTTTGGGTGGTTCTTGTTTTTTCGGCTTTGTATGCACAACAGGTCTATGTTTGACCAGATTAACTGGCGGGTCCGGGAGCTTGGCCGCCTTCCGCGCTACAGTGACCCACGGGGAAGCATTTTCGCGTGGCTTTGGAGGAAGTTCGTGGCGGGGTTTCGGGTGCTGGTTTCTTGCCTATGTTAATTTTGACATTGGTGTTGCCTATCGCAAATGCTGTCACAATAGGTGAAATGTTTTCTATAAGTGGCGCAACTAGGGTCGCGCCTTCAGTTCCCACCTTTGATTTTGCCCAAGCGTCAATAGTATGCAAGAAATCTTGAGCTACGCTCATTCGCTGCTTTCGTTCGCGTTCTGATTGCTCCATTGCAGCAGCAATCCCAAGAAGGCTCAGGTGAAGGTGGTCGCCTGGGTCGATCGACGCCGAGGACGACGGCTGGTTAAACGCAGCCATGATGCTGCTTGATTCTGCGCGTAATGCGATGGTTTGGAAGGTTTGATGAACGATGTTATGTGTGATTATATAAATTGAGAAGTATATAAATTGAAAAGTTCGGTACTGGTAAGTAGTTGAGTCCGTTATCGCTCGGGACTCACGATATCAGATTCACAGGGTGATCAATATCGAAGTCTAAGATAAGCAGAAGGTTGTCTAGCCTTTCCTCTAAGGACGACCATGCTCTATATACATTCTACGCTATTGCCCTGAGTGGCGATCTGGTCTTACCTAACTAGTGGTAAGGCGACGCTCGTACCTCGTCTCCAGCACCCGATTATCTTCACCTTCAGGATCCACAGCCCAGTCCCTACAGAACTACCCGACGCTCTAGCGCTCACTACGACACCTAGTCTGGGAAGGGGTCCTACGTGTAGCGAAGTGGCTTTTCTTTCTGAGTTTTACACAAAGACCTGCCCTAGACATCCTAGAGGAGGAAGAAATAGGTCTTAAACTCTGCCTCAACTTTGAGCCTTGTATTATGGATGGATGGTGCGGTATTTCTGAATGGATCTATTAGTAGCATCTCGAGAGTGGTAGTAATACATCAAAGAAGTAAAGAGCCTTGGGGACTGGCCGTAAAAGTGCAGGTGCTGTGCTACACGCAATCATGTAATTAGAGAATTGCCCTACAAACCTGGTTAGGAAGTAGCAAGGGCGAAGCCATCAGGGCAGTAAGCACTGGCGTCCATGCCTCTAGTTAGTTTAGTGAGTAGTAGGGACCTAAGTCAAGCTTGGCGCCCCGACGGACGAAAAATAGAAAACAAACAAACTAGAACACCTAGAAATAACAAAAGAGTCCGACCAGCTGTCCGCCACGACCTGGTCTGGTCTAACGCTGGTGCCCTTGCAAGTATTTCGATAGAGCTTGACTCGATATCGGATCACAGAACTCTTGCGGGAGACGTTCCGCGTCCAAACTCGAAAGCCAGAGCTGTAATCAAAACTGGTCAACCGTTCCGAGTGACAGACGACGCCCTCGAAGACTTTGCCAAGGTACTTGGTAGATGGGCTCATGGAATAGAACTACAGCCAATGGACTCAATAAGCGCGGTAGACAATCTCGCTGATAAGCTGGTCCAAACCATTAGCGATGCAATTAGGGCTACCGGAAGACGCAGGAGTGCGAAGAAGGGTAGGACGGCACCTTGGTGGACGATAGAGTGCGCACAAGCCAAACGCGAATACAGGATATTCAGGGACGAAGAGAGCAGAAAGGATTTCCGTCGCATAGTCAGAAGTGCGAAACGCCAGTACTGGCGGCGGAAGTTCTCCGAAGCCACAACTGACGTCGACATTTATCGGATGGCACGTTGGGCAAAGCCGCAATCTACATCTGCTACTCCACCACTCCAAACTCCGGATGGTTTTGTTTCGGATCCAGGAAAGCGTGCACTTCTATTGCGCGATCTTCTTCTCGGTCGGTTCACCAGCCAAAACGACGTGGACATCAAACACCTCGAGCCAGGACGCGGAAACCTTCCATGGGTCTCAAGCGTCACTGATGAAGAAGCCAAGTGGGTCACAACGGCCTGCCAGAATAAAGCCCCTGGAGCAGACGCAATTTCTGTTCGTCTTCTTAGGACAGCCTGGCCGTCAATTGGACAAGCAGTGAGAGTACTCTTTGAGGGCTTACTTCGACTTAACCACTTCCCGAAGGCATTCAAGCTAGCGGAAGTAATTCTTCTCCCCAAACCTGGCCGTAATCTCAGTACAGCTAAAGGATGGAGGCCCATCGCACTGCTATCCTCTCTCGGCAAAGGTCTTGAGAGACTAGTCGCAAGGCGCATGGCCTACACCGCCATCTCGTACAAGGCCGTGCCGCAGCAGCTTTTTGGAGCACTCTCCGGCAGATCAGCTAATGACCTTGTCTCATGCATTATCCACGATGTGAAGCATGCAATGAAGAGGCAGAAGAAAGCAGTCCTTGTCACTCTGGACGTACAGGGTGCATTCGACGCTGTACTCCACGGACGACTGCTGCAAAGGATGAATAAAGTTGGGTAGCCGAAACCAGCCATCACTTGGATAAAGTCTTTCCTGAAAGAACGATCTGCCCGTGTCAGACACGAGGACGGAGTAACAGACCCAATTCACCTAGAGTGCGGGCTGCCACAAGGATCGCCTTTATCCCCAATTCTCTTCCTCCTTTACATGGCCGAAGTCGTGGGGGGCAGTAGTTGGAGATTCGGCTATACAGATGATGTTGCTATCCTCGGCATAGGTTCAACTCCGAACGAAGCCGCAGCAGCTGTCTAGAGAGAAGTCAATGCAGTCCTAGGGTGGGCTGCTGATAATGCCGTCTCTTTCGACCCAGATAAGGCCGAAGTAGTCTACTTCGTCGGCCCCAGATCCAGGGCTCACGATCTTCCGGCTATAAGGGTAGGCACTCGCGATGTACAAGCATCCGACGATATCCGATGGCTCGGAGTACACCTTGATCGCGGTCTGACCTTCGAAAGCCACGTCGCAAAGTGGACCAGTAAAGCAATGCGGCTAGTGCAACACTCCCGACGGCTCACTCAGTGCACCCAGGGACCAAGGCCCGACCTACTAACCACAGTGATCCGCACGGTAGTCCTGCCAATCGCGATGCACGCAGCGGAATCCTGGTACCCGGGGCCAACTAGGGAAACCTATCGGGGTGTCGCGCGAAATTCATGTAAGAGACAGTGCAAAGTTATTGACCAAACTTCTGCCTTCGGAATCCGCATGGCTCTACCAACCTGGCGCACGATGCCTATTGCAGCCCTGAGAAGAGACTGGTATTCCGCCAGCACACATTCTGCTCGAGGAACGCAGGCTCAAGACTACAGCACGAATCCGAAGACTAGATGAGTACCATCCGCTTCGACTTCGGGCCACGGAAAGCACAGACAGCGCTCGCCACCGACTTGGACTAAAGACATGCAACAAAACCAGACTTGGTCTGGACAGAGTTCATGATTCGAGGGTCCAGAGGATGTTTCGACTTCTGCCAGAGGCTGAACTACCTCCACCGCTCCGACCTCCGGTCCCCCTCAGCCAATTCCCTGCTGGACAAGCAAGAAAGAGGCTGCCAAGTTTATAAGAGAGTGGCTGCCTACACTCCCACCCGACTGTCTCTGCGTGTACAGTGATGGTTCTGGGGCGTCCACCGACAAAGTGTCATGGGCCTTTGTGACCTTTATAAGTGGCACAGGTACGACAATTGAGCAAAGCGGCTCAGGCAAAATTACCAATGCGGAGGTCTGCGACGCAGAGGTCCATGGAGCTTTGGCTGCTATAGAAGCAATTACTGCCAGCAATCGAGATCGAGGGCGCAGCACTATCTACATCCTTCTCGACAATTCTGCGGCTGTTCAGGCTTTACTGACGGGAACAACGGGCTCATCATCCTGGCGTATCCAAAAGTTCGTGAAACTGGCCGCGGGATCAGCCGCACCTGTAAAAATAGGATGGATCCCAGGCCACGAAGGGCTAGCAGGAAATGAAATCGCCGATGAACTCGCCCGAAGAGAGCTTAACTCGCCGGACAACTCTAGGACGACACATGGTGTGATGACCCTCGCCTCATCAGGACGGAAAGCCCGTGAAGTGGCCAGGCTGATGTTGACGGACTGGTGGCACTCAAATCGCCCCAAACAATACGCCAACCTTGAACTCGAGATGCGGCGCGAGAAACCGCCAGAACTAGCGCTACCTAGAGCGGTCTTCGCACGCTTGATCGCTGCCCGAACCGGACATGGAGACTTTGCGGCATATCATCGTCGCTTCAATCACGCTGACGCTACACTTAACTGCGAGTGTGGGAGGGAAAAATCAATTGGTCACCTTGTACAGTGTCGAAAAGCACTGGCAATATGGCGGCTGAAAAGCGGAAAGCGTAGGGCGCCGGCTCTGGAGACAATGCTTGGATCAAGGGGATGGCAGCTGTTCAAGGACTACGTCCAGGAGAGTGGAATATACGCGGAGGCTAGTCGGGGGATGACAGGGATACCTGTGACTATGAGGTGATAGATCAAAGTCCTAGGTGGTTTTGCATGGACAGAGAGATTGGAATCGAGGCTCAGGCGTGTGGTGGTTGAGGCGGAACAGAGGAAGGGAGATTGTTGAAGTTTTTCTTTTGTAATGCGGGATTTTGCGTGAAAGTTTTTGTTTTGTTTTCAACTCTGGGCTTCTGAATTCGTCATGATTCAACACATAGATGTTGTGCTCAGCTAAGGTAGCCCTGGCAGGTAGCGCATGGAGGGTGAGTGTGTCATCAAGGTACCTCAGGCATGGACAACTCACATGACATGTTTGGCGCATTTGTTCAGGCAAGGCACACTGCATGAGTAAGCATGATGGGCATATGATTCGCTGGTAAGCGAGTCCATGGGGTATAAAAGGGGAGTATTTCCCACTGTAAATTAGAATACATATCCATAGAGTCATCTACAATTCACTCTCGATAAAACATCATATCTTAGCCGTCAAACGCAAGTGTACGTTCCCCATCTCATATACCAAGTAAAACAATAGATGCATTTGGGCATGGTTCCGGTCATTTAGGTGGGACGAGGCATTTGTACTGCACGGTATTTAACCTGATCCGGCCTAACCCCACTCGTGCTTAAGCTCCAGTAGGAGTGCGACGGTAGTTACTTCACCTAGCACGTTAATGAACAAAAAACGCACAATTCGAGAAATTCGAAAATTCATTTTTTCCCATTTTCCTCCCCTTAAATCACCCTCCGAACTTCGAAACATCAATTTCTCGTGGTACCACGCCACTCAGCCTTGAAATGGCACCGGTACCCCCAAAATCCGCGAAACCCGCGAAAATTGTGTTAACCACTAAAGTAGTAAAGCACAACCACCAGACGCGTCTGGAATCATAGAAGCAAATGCTGAACAAAGCAAAAAGCATTGCAATGCAAAAAGCGACAACAAAGGGACTGACGCAGAACGACATCGATCTCGAAGGGATGGAAGCCGACATAATCGCGCAGATGGAAGAAAGCGGCAAAATCGACATTGAGATGGAGGATGCCACTCCCATAATTGATGCTTGGATCAGAAAGGGCCTAAAGGACTCGCGTTGGGCAACTGCAGGAGCAGAGAGCTCCCAGAACGCGTCAACAGCACCAACAATTGCCATCGAGAAAGTAGTCTCGGCGAAAGCAATGCCAGAATCCGCACGCGTTGCGGCACGAAAAATTGCGGTTCCGATAGCAAAGCGGACACTAACCGCGAGCACACCGAGGGGAACGGAAGTCCCGAACTATACAGTGGCATCAAATGCCTCAAGACCTCAGCCACCCCCGGCCTCGATTCCAGGGACGGCTGAGTGCCACAACCACTCTTCTGATGGTGCTCCCACCGGCACCACGCCAATTCACCCGCCGGAAATAGAGGCTTTACTCGAAGCCGAAAGAAAGCGGGCTGCAAACACCTCAGCCAGGCCCGAGATAGGGTCAACGGTGTTAAAAACATTGGAAAGTGTTATCCTGTCCATGAAAACGACAGATAACAAAGAATACTTGGACGCGATGAACGTGTGTCTGAGGGGCGCCCTCGCCCACTTCCTGCGCACTGGAACCACACTAGTGCCGACAAGCCTTCCCCCCCGCCCCATCTGCCAGCAGGCC